GCATTGTGCTAGCACTTTAAAAGCTCTATCTCATTTAATCACTTATAATAATCCTATGAAGCATATCTCATTATTATTATTTTCATTGTGCCGATGGAAATACTGATGCTTAAGGGCTTAATTTGCCCAAAACCATGCAGCTGGAAATAAGAGTTGGGATTTGTATCTAAATATTTATTATCCATTATCATCATCATCATCATCATCATCACTAAGCACTTGATTTTTAAAAAGTTAATTATTTCCAGAATGGAAAAGTCGATGACTCAAATATTCAGAATTTAGTTTTCCTGTTCTGTTTTTGTTTTTTTTTTTCCACAGCAAACAATGAAAGCGCACAGAGTTTTGTGTTGTGCTTATATGGTAGCTGAATCCATTATTTTTTATCTTCTACATAATTTATTTTATGTGAATATGTCTTATATCTTACAAGTGAAAAAGATACAACTCAATTAGAATTTCTATGGCAGTCCTGCATAGATGCCCCATTATTCTGAGATAATTATTTGAACTTGTGGAGGCTTCTCTGAATGTGTCTTAAATGATCTGTTTTCCATTTATTGCTTTCTCTTTTCAGAAAGGTAATTTCTAATAAAAATAACACCTGGTTACAAGAAGTAATACATTTCAGCTTCTCTAAAACTTTTAATTCTTCCAATTTTATTTCTCTCATTGCTCTTCAGAAGAGATTTATTTATTCACTAATCAATTCAAAATGCCTTTGTACGGTCAGTTCATCATAAGATATGAATGGACTGTTTCTTTACCTATTTCAAGTAATATATTAATGTATTTCTAAATTTCTATTTTCTTTTCATACTTTTCTCTCATACAGGATACTTCAATCTGACAAAAATACGAAAACAAGAGTTACCTTTTTAATTGCTTTTCTTTTTTTTTAATTTTTTAAAAATATTTTTATTTATTTCTAGGAGAGAGAGAAAGGGACAGCGTGAGCAGGGGAGGGTCAGAGAGAGAGGGAGACACAGACTCTGAAATAGGCTCCAGGCTCTGAGCTGGCAGTCAGCACAGAGCTCGACGCGGGGCCCGAACCCACGAACCGCGAGATCATGACCTAAGCGAAAGTCGGACGCGTAACCGACTAAGCCACTCAGGCGCCCCTAGTTGCTTTTCTTATAAGAATAAATAGGATATTGTTAGTTATATTGGTCCATAAAAATTGGTCCTACGTATTAAAAACAAAATAATGGGGCAGCAGTACAGCTGGTGTAATTCTATATCCTGTTCTCATTTTGAATCATGCTCCTCTGATTTTATCTTTCAAACAATATATTCTCACCCCAGCAGCTAGAATTTTCCTTTTAAAATGTACATCGATTATAGCAGCCTCCCAGGGCCTAGCAGCTCACAGAGAAGCCTGGCCCTCCCCTAGCCTGGAGGCCTTGAGAGATCTGATTCCTGTTCCCCTTCTACACTTACCCTCATAAAGACCCTCTGCTAGGCTGGCTTTTGCTTACCCTTTGATGAATGAAGGTATCCCGCCTTCATTTCCTCCCCTCCTGTGTGCAGCTCAGCTAATCCCTTCCTGACCAACTCTCTTATCCTCAGCGAAAATACTGAGATATCCTAACTAATTAATCTTAACTAGAATATATAATGTTGCTGTCCTTTCTAGGAATGCAGTGTCCTTCCTTCCTTCCTTCCTTTCTTCCTTCCTTCCTTCCTTCCTTCCTTCCTTTGATTTGTCTGCTCTCCTTTATTCCAAACCAAAATTAAACCCCAGCTCCATTCTTAGCCCTATTCTTTTCATCTGTTCTCCTTATTCAAGGAAGTTTAGAGAATTATGAACAAGTAAAGGATTATAAAATCCAGAGTAAACAAACTGGGAGATGGGGTAACTGATTAAAGATTCCCGTATATTATTAAGATCCTGGAGTATTGAGAACCCATCCATACCATGCTGTATCGTCATGTTTATCTGGTTAATTGAAAAGCTGATATAATATGTTTTGCAAACTTTTATCTTCATTGTTCATAATTAACATAATTCCCATTCAAAATAAACTGTAGTAAAAAGTCCAATAGGCTGCACAAAATTAAATTTATGTCACTTCTCTTTGCCTTCAATAATTTTGCAACTTAATAGTGTCATCTAGAGAAAAACACACTAATTGAACAGATAAAGAGAACAATTTATATTTTAATGTTTTTTTGTTTTGAAAAGCTTTAAAATTCAGTTTGACCTTGGGGAAAACATCTTTTAATACTTGCAAAATCTGATTAATCATATTTACATCCAAACAGAGGTGTGAGAATGAAATAATTAAAAACTGTAAGTAGAGCAGTTTGGTCTTTGGACAGTAATTGTTTCTTAAAATAAAACTGAAAAGGAGAATCCAAGACTCAGTATTCAATAGATTTTATTTTATTATATATTTGTATTTTTTACTAAGACTATCAAAAACTAACCGTATGTTAGAACTACTGAGCCTTTGGTGAAAATACTGACAGTGACATCGTGTAGTTTTTCACCCGCAAATTACAAAGTTCTGAGATGAGATAACAGAAGAGACTGCTGACAAGTAAGATTTTAACTAATTTCCAATTTCATGTTAGTTAATGTGATGTGATATGAAGGCCAGATGTCCTGAAAGACAACTGAGAGCACAGAGTACATGAGGCAGTCACTCACCTTGGTGGGGTGGCCTATCTGCATAGGTCATAGGAGAATTTACTGTTAACTTTACTAATTTTTAAAAAGAAACAACCAATATTGGGGCACCTGGATGACTGAGTTGGTTGAGCATCCAACTTCAGCTCAGGTCATGATCTCTCAGTTCAAGCCCCGCGTCTGGCCCTGTGCTGACAGCTCAGAGCCTGGAGCCTGCTTTGGATTCTGTGTCTCCCTCTCGTTCTGCCCTTCCCCTGCTCACACTCTGTCTCTCTCTCAAAAATAAATAAACAATAAAAAAAAAGAACAACCAATATCATAGAAGCATCCATATAGCAGTTTCTTATTGCAGACCATACTACAGTGAGAAACAAGTCACTATGAAAAAAAAAAAATCTGGTACCCGAAATGTGAAGTTTCAGATCAGAAAATCTCAGTAGGCTAATAACTGAGTCTATCCTGCTGATACAGCAGAGATTCATTCCTTGGTCTGATGATAATGAACCAAAAAGGGATTAATTAAGTATTTTTAAAAACACAGATAAATAACCATTTTAGTAGGAAGAAACTGGTTTTATTATTGCCATAGCTATATGAATATTTCTAACCTATACAATTGTGTTACAACCTAAATAGTCCTATCACCAAAATGATGATGCCATTATAGGTTTTATAGATCTATCTGTAACCAATGCTACATATTTCCTTTACTGTATCAGTTAGGACTTGTATTCCACTATAACCAAAATATAAGTGGATAAGCAAGAAGAAATTAATTTTTCTCCTCTATAAACTGAGAACTATAAGAAAGAAGCACTTATGCATCTGTAATGCAGCACTCAGACTCATTACTGAGTTACCCATGCTACAATTCAAGCTGTAATTTTATGTCCCAGTTCTGATTCATTCATGCATCCATTCAATAACTAAGTACAAAGAGCCTGCTATCAGGCAGACCATGGGCTTGGCAGTTAAAATAGAGTGGCAAAAAAATATACACATGGACTCTATCCACATGATATTTATAGTCTTATAAACTAATAGTAGGTATAGAATAGTAAAAAATAATTAGTAACATATATAAATAATATGATTATAATCTGTAATATAGAATATATATAAAATAAAATTCATAATTTATGATAGTATTTATAATAACTATATATTTATAAATATTGATACTATGAAGAAAAATTCAAGAGATTATGAGAGAGTGCTCAGTAGATTGTATAAGTAGCCACAAATACTTCCTTTTCCTGAATTCATGCCCTTGTAATATAACACTGCAGATCTTCCCATCAAGAGATGGAATCTCGTTTTCACCTAAGCAAAAACTGCTTACTTTGGCTAACAGGTCTTTAGCAAATATGATGCAAACAAAGACATGAGAAGTTTTTGCACATCAAATCTTGCTCTCCATCCCTATGTTTATTGCAGCATTATTTACAGCAGCCATGATATGGAAACAACCTAAGTATCCATCAACAGATGAATGGATTAAGGGAAGGTGGCCATACATATAGATGATGTGTATATGATATATATAATTTATATATAATGTGCATAATATTAATATATAATTCATATAACATATATGAACACTATTCAGTCATAATAAAGAAGGAAATCCTGTCATTTGCTACAAAATGGATGAAGATTGAGGACATTATCCCAAGTTAAATAAGTCAGGTGGAGAAAGACAAATACTGTATGAACTTACTTATATGTGGAATCCAAAATACAAAACAAACTCATATAAACAGAGACAGATTAATGGTTGCTAAGACCAGGAGGTGGGAGGTAGGGAAAATGGCTGAAGGTGGTCAAAGGAAGGAAACTTGAAGTTGTAAAATGAGTAAGTTAGGGGATATAATGTATAGCATGGTGACTATACTTAAGAAAACTCCATTGCATATTTGTAAATTGCTAGGAGGGTAGATTTTAAAACTTCACACCACAAATACAGAGAATTGTATCTGTGTGAGTGGTGGATGCGTCAACTAACCTTACTGTGATTTTGTAAAATATGCATATATAAAATCATTATGCTGTATTCCTTAAACTTATACAATATTATATGTCAATTATATCTCAAAATTAATTTAAAAAGAAAAAAATGAGGCTCCTGGGTGGCTCAGTTGGTTGGGCGGCTGACTATGATCCTACGCTTCATGGGTTCAAGCCCCATGTTGGGCTCTGTGCTGACAGCTCAGAGCCTAGAGCCTGCTTTGGATTCTGTATCTGCCTCTCTCTGCTCCTCCCCCACTCATACTCTGTCTCTCTCAAAAATAAATCAGCATTTAAAAAAGAAGAAAGAAAAAGAAAAGTTAAAAAAAAAAAAAAAGACTTATTCTCTTGCTATGTCTAGAATTTGAGAGCACCAGGAGTCCACCAGGCTGCCTACTGGAGAATGAGAGATCATGAAGGAAAATTGAAATGCCCTATTCCACAGCCAGTCCGTCCCCACATTGTGAATGAGATGATTTTGGACCAGCCAGCTTCAAGCCAAAATGCCAGTTGGCAGTAGAACCAGTGGCTGACCACAGAGACGTGAGTGAGCTCAGTTGATACCAGCTGAAGAAAAACGTGACTGAACACAGTGCCAAATAATGATTCACATGATCATGAGCTAAATAAATGATTTCTGTTAAGCTACCAAATTCAGAGTATTTTGTTATGCAGTGGAAGCTAACTGATATGAAGCATGTTAGAGGACCCAATTTAGCTTGTAGAGTTCCAGAAGGCTTCTCTGAGGAAGGTATCCGAAGGATTACTATGAAAGAGCCAGCCAAAGAAAGTCAGGAGGACTACATTCAGACAGAGGGAAAGCATACTGAAGGCCTTGAAGTGAGAAAAAGACACATTTGAAGAAATGGAAGAATGAAAATTTTCTTTGTCAGGCTTCTTCCTTGTTCTCAAATCCCAACATGTTTCTTCCCTACTCTGCCCTGTATATAACCTTAGGCTTGAATTCTGATAATTGGGTTCCCATTTAATTTTCCATTTTCTAGTAAACAAAAACTCTAAATCCTCTACTGCTGGCTGGTTCACTCATATTTTTACCATACTGTCTCCAATGGACTGCACTGTTCCACTGACCTTGAGCTTCCCGGTTAGGGTCCTGCTATCTGCTGAGAGACTTTTGTGATTCCCATTTCTTGTCTTGACTTTGAGAACTGGCATGCCTACATTACCTGCTCTACTGTTTCTTATACCACCATACTGTAGAAGTAAATATGAAGGGTAATTGTGGAAGATGGTCCTGCAGATAGTAACAGAGATGACAGACAGATGATAGGTAGGTAGATGATAGGTAGATAGATAGATGATAGATAAATAGATAGATAGATAGATACATAGATACATAGATAGATACATAGATAGAGGCAGTTAGACAAAAAAAGCAAGTTAGAGAGCATCTTCTATAATCCCATTTTTATAAAAACAAAATAATAATTTTGTTTTATAAAACAAAGTAAATAATAATTGTGTTTATTATATGCCACCCACATACTCAAACACACGTACATACATACACCATACTTAATAGACATTGCTTCTGCTTATACAGTCCCAGAATCATAATTCTGTTTCTTTTTACTTCCATAATGTTTGAATACATTGATTTACATTTTCTCAACAAGGCTTACTCAAGGAAATATTTTTATTAGTTAAGTTGGCTGCTGAGATATATACCAAAAAGTTACTTTACCTTGGTGAGTTAACAGAAATATATGTAGCAATGCACTAGTTCAAATCTAACTATACTATTAACATACTTTGCAACATACCGCCAATGAAACTATAATGATTTAACCAGGTTATAGATGTTTTATTATATACATATATGTCTACGAGCTAACTCTTTGTGTTTTTTTTCTGAAATGAAAATAAATGAAGACTAATTTAAATATTTCTTCATTAAATGTTGCTATCATGAACATTTGCTCCTGAAAAGAGGGAGCAAGGAAAGTAGGTACATGGATAGATAGTTTGCCTTTCTTTTCTCTTTTCATTTAAAAAATTGTTTTAATGTTCTATTTTATTTTTGAGAGAGAGAAAGACAGAACTTGAGCCAGGAAGGGCCAGAGAGAGCTGTCAGCACAGAGCCTGATGCACAGAGTCCTACGCACAGAGCCGATAGTGGGGCTTCAACCCAGGAACTGTGAGACCATGACCTGAGCCTAAGTCGGATGCTCAGCCGACTGAGCCACCCAGGCACCTCGATATTTTACTTTTCTTAAGTGGGAAGTTTAGGTCAACATGTTTAAAAGTCACATTTTAGTTTTTCAGCAGTTTTCTTCCTTACATGTAAACATGCAAGAAATGTGTTTAACAAATACTCACACATCTGATCATATTATGATTACCTCGCAAAGTTGTAAGGCAGGTATTTTTATCTGCCTCTCTTTTATAGTTGCAGCACCTGAAGCTTAGAGTTGGAGAACACATCTAGGGTCACACACAGGGTCAGTCAGCTGAGGATTTTGGCATAGATAAATAAAATAATTCTCTGGATAAGTTTAAATTAGTCTCCCAGGGACAGTATTTCAACTGATACTTATATTTCTTTTCACGAATAGTTTCTTCAGAGGGCAGTTTAGTTTATGGGACAGCTTTATTGCAAAGTATTTGGTCCAACTAAATTTGACTTTCTAGATGACTAAGTAGCCATTTATTGTAGGCAAAGATTTTAGATAATATGAAAAGGTCAGGTAAGAGCTGAAATATGTAAATTTTGTGTCACAATTCATTTTGTGTCAACTATTTCTTCATTATGTGTGGAGAATTTGGATTTGATTTTTCTGTCATAACATTCAAGTAATATGAGAGTGTTTCACTTTAATACTGATGAAATAAATAGAAATTTGGTCGTTCTTTACAGAAGGATAGCCATCTTCAGGCATTTATGTAGCATTTTATGTTTCTAAACTGCTTCACAATTTTTATATTATTCATCTTTCAACAACCTTGTGAATATGTCAATAGTGTTAACTTAAAATGTAAACTTGGAGAACCTGGGTGGCTCAGTTAGTTACGTGTCAGACATCAGCTCAGGCCATCATCTCACAGTCCGTAGGTTTGAGCCCTGCGTCAGACTCTGTGCTGACAGTTCAGAGCCTGAAGCCTGGTTCAGACTCTGTGTCTCCCTCTCTCTCTGCCCCTCCCCCACTTACACTCTGTCTTTCTCTGTCTCTCAAAAATAAAATGTTAAAAAAAAATTAATGTAACTTAAAATGTAAAGGTTTTTTTTTAAACCTTAAGCATAACAAGTTAACTGACTTGCCCAGATATATTAGATTTTATAATCCTCATAGCCTTATTGAATTATTAGATTTAAATGATGGTGCTAACCTTCTTTTATATTCTCTGTTATAAAATATTTTACCTGGATTTAATAATGATCACAATTCTGAAACATTAAGGATTAAACTTTTTATTTCAGATCATAGTATACATTACCTATACCTAATGGTTTTCATTTTTAATAAAAATTCTTCATATTTAATATGATGGAAACATTTTGTTGATGTCTGAGGATTAGTTTTCATCAGATTCTATTTTATTATTTAGAAATGATGTTAATCTGTGTAACTTCTTACATAAATGTCTCACTTCTATGAATTACTTAAGAGTTTAACTAAATTTCTAAAGAGTTAAAATTCCCACTAAATCAGGGCCATCTAAATCTGGTTGTTAGCTAAGAATGTTGGGCCCATGTAATCAATCCTCTTTCCACACCAACCCCCATTAGTAGAATCACTTTAAGAAATGCAAGATATGATAACTTGGGGGAAAATAAATTGACATACTCCAAATCCTATGCAGTTGAATTAAGGGGAAAAAATGCATAACAAGAAGTTCGTTCTGTGTACCATCATGTACAATAAATTAAGAGAAACATTAGAAAATGAGACAGACATTTTTCTTTTTAGGAATCTTTATCATATAAGTTACCTGATAAACTGTGATGAATCTAACTGAAAAGTAGGTGTGTTGGGCAATTGTCTTCCAAAATAGGTATTTACATATTTTGATGCCAGAGTGGATCTGAGAGGGAAAGTCAGCAAGAAAGCTAGATGAAACAATAGCAGAAGGAAATGGCTGAAAATACAGCACTTGTCTACCAGATGGTCATAGTTATAGTTACATGTTATGGTGTGCAGGTTGAAGAATCATAAAGCCTGAGGGAAGCAGGGCTGTCTGAGATAGGAGGATTGAAGGGAGGGGCATTCCCTTCATTCCTGCACAAAACTCAGAGCAGGACTGTGGAGCCACCATGAGTGATGGTGGCAGGCTGAGCAATAAGATCATACCTGGTCAGTGTTGACAGAGGGCATCAGAAACAGAGTTGGGGAAAATGCATCTTTCAAATGGCTTAGAGGCAGCCAGTGTCAACTAGGAAGCCATAGCAGAAGAGCACATGTAAATATCACTCATTCAAAAACTATTTATTGAGGTCCAGTACTTGTTTCTGAACCCACATGGGATTGCTCCTGGAAAAACCTAGACCTAATTGTGGAGTTTTTTTTTTTTTTTTTTTTTTTTCAGAATCTATTTAATATTCTGTGTGAGAGAGCACTAAACAAGACAGCAAAATGAGTTCTTAATTTTAAGGTTAGCTCATTTATCCCTAAGAATATTGTGTAAGTTGTCTGAGACCCCTTACATTCAACTTAAATTGGTGATCTAGCTTTCGGCAAGAGATTGTCATGATTAATCCTTTCATGCCTCACATTCTTATTTCCTTCACTTGATGCCAAAGCCTAGCCTGAAGACTCCTTCCAATTCCATACCACTCTGTGCATATGTTAAGCTGATTGAATTTTAGTCCCTTGCTCCTTTCCTGAGTTTTCCTTTCTATGGCTAATGATCCCTACTAACAGCAAATACTCTATATCCATAACAGTACCTCTGAACTGTCCCTCTTGCCCCAAATGAAATCTACTCAGCCCTGCAAAGCCCTCTCTGGTGAAGGCTGTTTTCCTTTCCTTTCACACAGCTTTACCTTAATTCTTGGCATTGAAATACTCTTTAGTCCTTATTGCTTCTTTTAAACAATTTCTTTCCTGCTTTCCCCCCCCCAAACTCTTGGGCTCCTGCCAGTCACTGTTTTTAAGTTTCTTATCTACTGTCTCCCCTTGCTCACTGCTGACCTTTCTACCGCTATAATCAACTATCTGGCACCTTCACCACTCACATGGATGATACTTCCAGAACCTTGGTATTTCCGTTCCTTCATTTCTTCTCTCTTCCACTATCACTTCAGCCATGGTCACAGGGGTATTTTTATTAAATGCATCAGATATAAAACCTTCAACTATCCTTCCTTCTTGCTACTTTCTAACCTTTTAGCGTATATACTTTAATACCCTCTATATCCTACCTTCCACCACATGGAGAGCTCTAATGAATTACCTATCATTTTCTCCTGCTCAGTTACCAAGTTTATGTTCTCATGATACTCCTTATAAACTTAGAATGTATGGTTTATTTAATTCTTCCTACAAAACCCTTTAGTTTCATTGCTTCTCTTTTCATTGAACATGAATGCTAAATACCCAGCTAAGGTTAAACATAACATTCTATTGCCTTTGCACCTGAGTTTAAGATGGTGAGTGTTTCTAAAGGGAAACATATACATTTGCTGACT